AAAGGGGGGCCCCCGACACGCCGCAGGCGCGCCGCGCGCCTCCGCGCAACGCGCGCCTGCCCTCCGCGGCGCGGGCCGGGGCGCCCGCTCACGGCGCAGCGGCCCTGCTGGTGCTACAGTCGGGCAGGTCCTCCTGCAGGCGGATTCTGTGGACGAGCGCGTTCCACTGCTCGCAAAAAGTGGCTGCTGGCAAGTGGCCTCGATGCGCCGCGGGGGATCTGCGCTAGAGCGCGCGGATGCAGACATGTGTTTTCTGGACGTTTGCGAGTAGGCACTCTGCGAGTAGTGGAACGCGCTCAGCGATTTTGGACGAAACATAAAAAATGTTCAAAACCTACACCGAAAATTCCCCAAAAATAGGCCAAAAGATCGTCCCCCCACTATTTGTTGCTACGATCTTCGAAGACTCCCCCTGTGGAGGGACAAGCCCGACGGAATGCTGGTGCAAGCCGACTGCTGGGCGGCGCGTGCGGGGGGGGGGGCCCTGCTGGTGCAGGCCGCCCCGGTCCTCCCCCCCCCCCCGGGGCAGCCTCGGGCGGCCGGCGCCCGAGACCTCGGGGCCTCCCACGCCTCGAAGAGTTTCTTACTCTCCGGGCGAGTGCAGCAGAGGAGGCCCCGGCCCTGCAGGCTCCTGCAGGCGCCGGCGCTCTGACCGTCCCACGTGCAGGCGGGCGCGCGCGCGCGTGGAGTTATTGGACGGCGAAGCGAAGGCTACCCGCAGCAGGTGCCCGACGAAGATAGTGATGGAGATCCCGAAAGCGATCAGGGGCGAGCTCGGCGTGGGTTGGGCCTCGACGTGCGCTCGATCGGCGCGGCGGCCGAGGGGCTGGGGGCGCTGGGCTGCATCGCGGAGGCCGAGGCGGCGGAGTGCTGCGATGGCATCGCCTCTTGAGGCCTGAGTGATGGCGGCGCGCACAGGGAGGCAGGGGGGAGGGCGAAGGCTTCTTTGGGTGGAGGCTGCTCCTTAGGAGGCGCGGGCCTTACACCTGCAGACAGGGCCCGCGCCTTCTGAGAAGCAGGGGTGCTTCTAAGAAGCCTTCCCCCTCCCCCTGCCCCCCTCTGCGCGTGGCCGAACTGAGCCAAGAGGGGCCAGAGGAAAGAAGGAGCCAGACCGGCGACAAAATAACGGACCCCAACAGGCCATATTACGAGGCGAGTGGGCCAGCCCATTCCCTCATGCAAACTAAGCTTGAAAGTCGAACGCGAGGACTGGACACTATTGACATGGGCGAGTGGGCAAGACCACTCGCGTATGCAAACCATACTTGACATTCGGCCGCGAAGGCTGGGTTACCCAAACAGTGCTTGCACAAACTTCGCGCGCACACACACACACAAACACACACACACACACACACACAAACACACACACACACAAACACGCCTTCGTATCACCCCAACACGGAATTGGGTGGCCGCCGCGTCGACACGGCTGCCTCTCTCAACCACACAGGCTGGCCCACGACGACTAGCGACATGGTGCCTTCTACAGTTGAAGCTGACGAGATGCGCAGGGAGTTGGGATTCACCACACGAGCATACAAACGTTACATCAGAACGACGAGCACGATACGGAAGACCCCACCCCATGGAGCAGAACGGAGCAGCCGCCGCCTCCGCCACGGCCAGGTTCGGAAGGCCCGCGGGATCGGCCGCCGATGTCGGCGGGGGCCTCACGGCGGCGACGGCGGCGTCGAACTTGGCCTGGCCGGCGGCGCGCGCGGCGGAGGGGGGGGCCGGGTGCGGGCTGGGAGGCCTTGTGATGAAGCTGCAGTCTTGTCCGAAGAGTACGCAAAGAACAACACGCACTCGAACCTATGTTGAGGAGGAATGGGGGAGGGCAAGGCGATGAAGGCGCTTCAGGCATGGGTGCGAGCTGTCGGACACCGAGCGGAACTCCCGTTCGAGCGGGGACCCCCGTCCGACAACACACACCCATCCATAGCCCCCCCCGGAATGCCACCCCGAGAAATTTGAGGGGGTCCCATAGGTACGGATGCTAGCTGTCAGCGCATGCAAGGGAGTGCCCTTCCGAGAAGCCCTGCTCGAAGGCACGGTGGCCTCCGAGCGGCGAAACGCCGTCTCGGGGCGGCGCCCCCCCTCGCCACTGCTCCCCTCCCTGCGTGCCGCCGACCTGGTCCAGGACATCGCCTTGCTCGTCGACGCCGAACTGCTCCTGCTGCGCCTGCGAGAAGGTGACCTTTCGGGAGCACGCCAGCCCTGCACCGGCATCCTGGCCAGGCCCATCCTGCGCCCAGGCGACCGTTGCAAGTAGCACGCCTCCCTGGCCAGGCCAGGACGGCGCATGCACCGATCCTCCGGGCCTGGAGTCGACCTGGCCAGAATCGGTGTGGTCGCACAGCTGGCGTAGCCTGACCTTCGTCCAGCTGCCCATGTCCTTGTCCGGCCCTGTGGGCTTGATGCTGTGCTTGACCCACCACGGCGGCGGCGTCTCAGCGCGAGCCCCCGCGGCGAAGCGGCCCTTGGAGCTCACAACCACCTTCGGCCAGCCGCGGAGGTGGAGAAAGAGGACGACGATGACGAGGACGAGGACGGGGACGACGACGACGACGACGACGACGACGACGACGACGACGACGACGACGGCGATCGGTGTAGAGCAGGAGGGGCGGAGGAGGAAAAGGACGACGACGACGACAAGGGAGAGAAGAGATAGGCTCGTCCACGCGACAAGGCCACGCGAGGGGGCGGCGGGGGAGCTTGCCGCTGCGCCCCCGGGGCAGCCCCGCAGGCTCTTCCCCTCCTCGCGCTCCACCTCTCATACTGCTTTTCCGTCATTCCTCCCTCCTCCTCCATTACCATTGTTCCCGCTGGGTTGTGGTGTTATACATGTGTATGTACGCATCCATAAATGTATACATTATACATACATGTGAACATACATGGGTGTGCGTAGATGGATGTGAAAATATATAAATGTACACATACATACACACATACACGTACAGACAAAGATGTATATACATACACATCAGAGTGAGGGGGCCGAACGGTCGTTCACTGTCCCTGGGTTCGTGGCCGAACCAGCTTTCCGCGGTGCGGAATGTTGTTGTCGTTGCTGTTGTCCGTTGCTTGTTGTCGCCGTCTGGCGGCTGGCCGACGACCCAGCCCGCGGACCACCCGCTGACCACCCGCGACCCACCCGCGACCCACCTGCGACCCACCCGCGACTGACTCCGCGACCCACCCGAGACCCAGCCGCGACCAACCCACGACCCACCCCGCGACCCGCCCACGACCCACCCGCGACCCGCCCGCGACCCACCGCGCGACCCACCGCACCACCCGCCAACAACCCATCCGCGACCCACCCGCGACCCACCCGCGATCCACCCACGACCCACGCGCAACCCACCCGCATCACCCGCGACCCACCCGAGACCCAGCCGCGACCAACCCACGACCCACCCCGCGACCCGCCCGCGACTCGCCCGAGACCCACCCTCGACCTACCGCCTCACTCGTATCCGCAACTGAGAATGCTCTATATATATATATATACATACATACATACATACATACATACATACATACATACACACATACATACATACATACATACATACATACATACATACATACATACATACATACATACATACATACATACATACACATACATACATACATACATGCACATACATACATACATACATACATACATACATACATACATACATACATACATACATACATTACATACATTACATACATACATACATACATACATACATACATACATACATACATACATACATACATACATACATACATGCATACATACATACATACATACATACATACATACATACATGCATGCATGCATGCATGCATGCATGCATACATACATACATACATACCTACACATACATACATACATACATACATACATACATGCATACATGCATACATACATCCATCCATCCATCCATCCATCCATCCATACATACATACATACATACATACATACATACACACATACATGCATACATACATAGATACATACATACATGCATACATGCATGCATACATACATACATACATACATACATACATGTATGTATACATACAACATACATACATACACACATACATACGTACATACATACATACATGCATACATACATGCATACCTACCTACCTACCTACCTACCTACCTACCTACCTACATACAGACATACAGACATACATACATACATACATACATACATACATGCGTGCATGCATGCATGCAGACATGCATACATACATACATACATACATACATACATACACACATACATACATACATGCATGCATGCATACATACATATAGATATATATATATATATGGACCGCCCCCCCCCCCTGCACCCACTCTTACCAGCTGTCGCTTCCTCATCCTCTTCCTCGGCTATCTATATCTATCTCTCTTGTTCGCTCTCTCTCTCTCTCTCTTTCTCTCTCTATATATATATAATAACATATATATAAGTAAAAATAAAAACATACATACATACATACATACATATACACATCGCTCTCTATCTCTCTCTCTCTCTCTCTCTCATTCTCTCTCTCTCTCTCTCATTATCTCTCTTTCTCTCTCTCTCTCTCTCTCTCTTCTCTCTCTCTCTCTCATATCTCTCTCTCTCTCCTCTCTCTCTCTCTCTCTCTCTCTCTCTTTCTCTCCTCTCTCTCTCTCTCTCTCTCTCTCTCTCTCTCTTCTCCCTAAAGCACCGGCGGTTTCTCTCAACTCCGAAATTGGCGTGGCGCGCGATCTGCCAGAGGGCACTGTGGGCTGCGAAAGAACGCCGTCCTCCGCAAAGGAGGAACTCGGCCTGACCGTCCTACCCACCAACATGCGCACTCGGGGAGGAGAGGGGGAAGGGATGGAGGGTGAGGGAGCAGCGATCCCTGTGGAATCACAGGGTTTGCGACGCCAGGGGCCGCCAAACCAGGTGCTTTCATGTGGATTCGTTGTAGAATTTCTGTGATGAGAATCAAGGAAACCCTGCGTTTTCATTTGGATGTTTGAAATTTTCTCACCCTCCAGACACAATCCAGGAGCCTCCGAAGCTTCAGATGGAGGGTGAGGGAGCAGCGATCCCTGTGGCATCACAGGGTTTGCGACGCCAGGGGCCGCCAAACCATGTGTTTTCATTGGGGTGCTTGGGATTTCGGGGATGAAAATCTAGGAAACATTGTGTTTTCATTTTGGCTTTTGTTTTAGATTCTTGTGATTTTCACCCCCCAGACACAAGCCAGGAGCCTCCGAGGCTTCGGAGCCTGAAAAATCCAAAAAATCCGAAACAGCCAAATGAAAACCAAGGGTTTGCGACGTCAGGGGTCGCCAAACCCTGCGTTTTCATTTGGGTTTCTGAAGATTCGGATGCTCCTGGGTTGATTTTGTTTGGAGGGTGAAAATCCAAAAAAATCCCCCACCTAAAAAATCCAAATGAAAGCGCAATGCTTCCTTGATTTTCATCCCATATATATCTATATATATATACACACATATATATACATATATATATATAGAGAGAGAGGTATATGTGTATATATATATATATAATTCGACGAAAATCATGCCCAGGGCCTCTTCTAAAGGTCACACCAACAAGAATAGCGGCAGGGTATACAAGGTCATCGTAGGGGCATCAAGAGCCGTCTTCGACGAGGCTGGCACGATGGTAGGAACAAGCCTGCTCGAACCTCAAGGGGCTACTGACGCGGGAGGGCGGGGGAGACGGCTGACGAGAGGGAGAGATGAGAGAAAAAAATGAGACGAAAGGCTGAGGATGAGTAGGAAGAAGCAGAGGATGAGGAGGGCGAGGAAGACCATGTGCGAGGAGGAGGGGGGCGGGGGAGGAGGAGGAAGATGGGTGAAAGGTATGGGAAGGGTGAGGGGTGAAAAGGGAGAAAGAGGAGGAGGAGGAGGAGGAGGAGGAGGAGGAGGAGGAGGAGGAGGAGCAGAAGGAGGACGAAGAGGAGGAGGAAGACGGGGAAGAAGAGGAGGATGGGGATGAGGATGAGGAGGAAGACGACGACGGGAAGGGCTCAAGGCTGCTCTAGGAAATCAAATGATCACACCAGCCGTGCTAAACTGACGGCTTCTGAGCGTCGTCTTGGCGACACTTCTGTACGACAATGTTGCTGCTTGGCGCGCATGGCCACTCGAGCAAAGCTCGCGCTGCCCCTCAAGGGCGATTAGGAAGCGAAAGCTGGTAAGAGTGGATGCGGGGGGGAGGGGGGGCTGCGCTCTTATATATATATATATATATACATACATACATACATACATACATACATACATGCATGCATATGCATATATACATATATATATATATATATATATATATATATATCCATACATACATACATATATACATACATACATACATACATACATACATACATACATACATACATCCATGCATGCATGCATGCATGCATGCATGCATACATACATACATACATACATACATACACATACGTGTTTATACACACATCGGTACATATTTGTGTAAATATATATATATATATATATATATACATCCGCCGCCGTGCCCTGAGGCACGAATTGGACTGTCCTCAAGTAAAGGCTCCAAAGAGGTAGGCGTGCTGGTGGCCTTGCCTCTGCCGACACGCCAGTGGCGCGAAGCCCCTAACTAATTGAATAATTAAGCCGAAAAAGGCCGCCGCGGCCAGGCCTGGCCACGGGCAGCAGGTCAGGCGGCAGGCGGCCGCCGGCCAAGTCCAGCCAGCCACCAAGGATTGGAGTGTCCTGAGGTTCCTTCGAGCTCCTTGTATTCTGAATAAGGGTCGGGCCCACCACAGCCTGGAATTCCGGGCGCTCCCGCGAGCTCCCAGACGCTTCCAAGCGCTCCTGGGGGTTCCCCGCGTGACTTTTCGAGAGGCCAAGGGCGCGGTGTGGGACATGCATGTCCACCACGGTTTCAGGGGGGCCCAGGGACCATCCTGGAGCCCTCTTAGGCGCCTCTTGGACCCTCCTAGAGGCCCTGGAAGACGGCCCAAGAGGCCAAAATCGTCAAAACCCATTGGTTGTTGTATGGTGTTCGCATTACCACCTTTTCCGTCTTCAGAGCGTCCAGGACGGACCAAGAGACCCCAAGAGGGGCCCAAGAGGCCCCCAAGCCGGCCCCAAAGAGGGCCCAAGATGGGGAACACGAACTGACATTTTGAGCCCTCCCCAAGATGACCTGAAGATCCCCCCAGAAGCCCCCGAGGTGCGACCAAGAGGTCCCAAGTGCCCCATAAGAGGCCCCGAGTTGCCCAAATCAGGCCCAAGAGGCCCCTAAGACGCCCCAAGACACCCCTGAAACCGCCTCCAAGAGGCATCCGAGAGGCCTCGCAAGAGATCCTCACAGGCATCCAGGAGGCCTCTGACTTACAACCTAGGCACGTTGGCAGGATGGGCCAAAACTAAATATCGTGGTGCACCCCTCGGCTGTCAAGGTCGTGCACCTTGCTTTCGCG